TATATGTATATATACATATACTGTATACGTATATACATATATATATATATCATATACTGATATATATAAACCTATATATAACTTTTTTGATTTTTTTGCAGTTATGCAGAGGTTCTGCATTTTACTTCTTTTTTTTTTTCAGAAAATCAACAATGAATCAACAAATGTCTTGGTTAACTCTCATCCTTTTTGGTAAGAACCTTGAAAGCTGCTAAATCTATATATATATATATATACACACACCACACTATATATAAAAACTCATCAATGCATAAATAAATAAATTAGTACATAAATACGCTTTGGTTATGAAAAATGCTAATTCTGTGTTGTAACTTTTATTTGTCTAATAAAAATAATAATTTAACTTTTTTCAAACACTTAATGTAGTTTTTCAGAAAACGTCACCAGCACAGGAGATTGTATTTACTTAACAGCACAATTTTTAGAGCATATCTTCCTCTTCGAGGGATTTCTGCAATAGGATTTACTTTTTCTTGTGGATCACAGTTCTTGAAATACTAAAAGGAAAACATTTATTTTAAGAAACTGAACTAATCAAAGAAGAAAAAAAATAACAAAGGTACAAATAAAAATGAATCATTGGCTACTTAATGTTGTTTTTAAGTATAATTTTAAATTATGAAATTGTTAAATATTAGATAATAATTTTTTTCTATTTAACAAACAAAAACATTATTCATTTGGTCAACCCATAAGGTGCTCACTAAACCTAAAGCATATTATCTTTTTTAAATCTTCAGGGTTTTGCCTCACCTTCTGTTCCAAATTCCCTCTGCGTAAATACTACTACGTTGACAAGTCACTGACCTGGTATGAAGCTCAGCAATACTGCAGGGAGCATTACACAGACCTGGCTACATTTGAGAGCATGGATGACATAAACAGGCTGGAAGCTCCTTTTTCTTATCGATATGCATGGATTGGCCTCTGGGATGACCCAAACTCATGGAAACATCAAATGGGCAATGAGTCCAACTCCTGGAGATGGTCTGCAACTGGAGAAACAAGTAAAACTGGCTACCAATCATGGGGTCCTGGTGATCCTGACTTTAAGGATGGAAAGGAAACTTGTGTGATGACGTCCAATGAGGGAGCGTGGTATGATAAAAACTGTGAACACGAGCTCAATTTTATTTGTTACATCGGTGAGAAATATTACATCTCTATATACGTTAACCAAAGCTGTTAAAATAAATAGAATGTATGAAATTCTTTCTTAATAAAATGTAATTTTTTAGGATGGATTTCAATTAAAGTTAGTACAACTATTGCATTTTCATTCTGTGTTGTTTTGCAGGTATGGAACAAAATGTAAAACAATATGAGTACATCTCAGATCTAAAAACATGGGGCTCTGCTCAGACCTACTGCCGAACACACTACACTGACTTGGCAACAATTGAGAACGAAGCAGAAAACCTTGAAGTCAATAATATAATTCCTGAGGGCGTCAAGGTTTGGATTGGCCTGTACCGCATACCTTTTTTGTGGTCAGACAAAAGCGCAAGTTCCTTCCAAAATGAGCATGATTTCTTCTATGATAACATAAAAGGCGTTCAACATTGTGTCCTGGAGTATCCGTCACATGGCTGGAATGATGAAGCCTGTAATAAAGCTAACGTTTTTGTCTGTCAACAAGGTAATGCTTAAAATAGGCATTTAGAAGTATAAAATCCAGACATCGTATTCATTCTTTTTACACAAATTTTTTGTTTATTTAGTGGTAAAGATGACCACCACTGTAAAGATGGCTGCTATGACTGGTGCCGACCTGACTGATCCAGACATCAGCGCCCAGGTCCTTCAGCAGGTACAGCTAGCAGGTTTTCTGACTCACTATTGTTTCTTTTAATAAGTAAAAGGGACTTACTGAAGTGTATTTTGTTTTCCCCAGCTTGGTGCTTTACTAAAAAGTCAGGGATGGACTGATTTCAAGATTCAATGGAAGATGAAACCAAGAAAAATGACAAAAAAATGAAGGCAGAGCACCTTAGTGTAACACATTTATTTATGTCCTCTGCAAATGTTTTTGTTTCCACTTATGTAGTAGTTGCATGTCATCTGGTCAATCATGATGCAAACGAGACTAGTGTGTTTTTCTTTGCAAAGGTGATTAATTCATAGAAGCAGATTTATAATATATATAAACATGATCTGTTATTAATTGATATCAATTTAATCGACAACAATATATATAATGAAAATATGCCACCTTTATAATTCAAAAAAAAATTTCATAATCAATTATTGGAGTAAATAATTATATAGGTGAAACAACATGTATATAGTTTTCTTTTAATCTAACTAATTACGTTATTCAAAGTGGGGTATTTCTGCTGCCTGAATTAATTGTGTAAATGTGGGATTTATTTTAGCTTTTGTTCTTCAAGTCTTTAAAATTCCACAATGTCCCATCATCCAATATATTGTAGCTGATTCTTTTATTTTAAGAATGCTTCTTTCATGAATAGCAATTTCTATTTTTACTTTAGTAAAACTTACCAATTCTGCTATCATGGTAAAAATAGTAAAAAATAAAAAATATTCCCTGCATACACACACATGCACACAAAAAACCTTATTTCTTGACTAGTTGTGCTAACTCTTCAGCTAATTCTTAGAGGGAGACATAGTGGGTATACAGTAGAGGTCGGAGAGAGATTTTAGAAAATTAAAACCTAGTCTACTGTTAATTTTAACAAAACTAATAGATAATTTACTTTATTTGTACATGGATTTTATGATTTAAAAGAATTAA